AGGGCTAAGGGTTTAAGAGTGATAGAACTTTAAACCCTTATACATAGGCATCTACATATGTATATCTTCGATTAGAATTTAAATACAGATAATACAGATTCTCGCCTGAAAGGGTCTATAGTTCTCTATATATACGAAACTTAAACTTAATAAACATAAATAAATAAAATAATAATAATAATACACATTTATTTTTAATATTTATGTCTGTCTGTACTCTATACAAATATTAATGTATATTTTCATATACATTTCTTATTGCTCTTTGCTTTGGCCCTGATGATCTAAACACCTTACCTTACTTTTAAAATAATTATAGGAATCTGAGCAATTTAGATTCATACTAAAATAAAATAAAAATTTATTTTAAATTAAAATAAATCATGCTTTTTTTCTTTCTTCTTTCAGTTTTACATTCATGATGGAAAATTCTTTTCGTAAAACATATTTGTTCCAGACTTTCAATCACAGTTAATATAAAAAAGCGAGAATTGAATTAGGGATAAAATGTAGTATTTTTCGTACTATATTATTTTTCTATACTATATAATATGTAGTTTCTATACTACACTCAGCGTCACAAAAATCGCACCTCTGAGTTTGCGCGAAAAATGGCTGTAATGGCTAGAAAAGAATTGTATTTATATAAATATTGGTATGTTTGAAATGGGTATTTGAATATCTGTACATTATTAATAAAAACATCATGAAATCATTAAAACATTTATCATTATAGAGCGTCAAAAATAAACACTATCAAATGCTCGTTAGTAAGGACGCTAGTTACACCACCTAAAAAGGGTATAAAAGGGCGATCTGGATGAAATATGGCTCAGTCGTAATTTAGACTTTGCAGTGAACACACGTGAACAAGTAACCCAAGTAAGAACAAGTGATTGCCCTATTGCAGTCGGGGATGCGGCAGTGTGACGTTGCTCGCCAGTTGAACCTGTCCCGTTTTTCAGTTCGACGGGTGTTCCAACGTTTTCAGCAGACTGGTGGTTATGTTAGAAAACCGGGATCTGGAAGAAAACGGTGCACATCAGAAAGAGATGACCGTTTCTCTTACACATCTTTACGAAACCGTTTTACAAATGCTGTTGAGTTGCAACAACAGCTTCGATCAACTCGGAGAACATCTGTGAGTGTTTACAAAAAAGGTACACGAAAAGAGTTTAACAGCCCATAGACCTGCTAAAGGTCCAAAACTTACTGCACAGCATCGCAGAGATCGCCTAGAGTTTGCTCGCAATCATTGCGAGTGGACTCTAGAACAGTGGCGGACCGTACTCTTCTCTGATGAGACGAGGGTCTGTCTCTTCTGCAATGACAGACGTAGAAGGGTCTACAGAAGACAGGGAGAGAGGTTCACACAAACCTGCTTCGAAGAATCCGTCGAATACGGGGGTGGCATTTCCGTCGACGGGAAAACGGAACTTATGTGCGTTTCTCGGACTCGGGGTGGCCGTGGGCAAGGGTCATTAAATTCTGGTCGGTACATTACTGAAATCCTGGAAGAACATGTGGTCCCGTATGCTGATTATGTCGGTGATGGATTCATGTTAATGCATGATAATGCTCGTTGTCACACCGCGGCTATTGTACGGGATTATTTACAGAAGGTCGATATCCCTGTTATATTGCCAGCACGAAGTCCAGACCTTAACCCAATAGAACAACTCTGGGATGACCTAAAACGGCGCGTGCGAGCTCGAGATCCAGCTCCAACCACTCTTCAAGAGCTCCAAGATGCGGTACTTGAAGAGTGGGAACAAATACCCCAAGAGGCTGTTGCGACCCTTGTAAGGTCCATGAAAGATCGCATGGAAGCCGTTATCAAGGCAAGTGGGGGGGTAACACTAGGTTTTAAGAACTTTTTTTGTATTTATTAAGTTTTTTTTAAATTATTAATTTGCAAATTTGTACATACCCTGTCTTTTTCTTTAATTTCTCTTTCGTCTCATTATAAAAGTAAAATTCAATTAAAATTCCTGAAAGCTAATGAAATTACCTTTCGAATGATACCCTCAAACCACAACATTGCCATTGGCCTGTTGTGTTAAAATAGTATTTAAATTATTTTTTTCGGATGTGCGATTTTTTTGACGCCGAGTGTATATAATAAAATACAATTGACTTAAATATAGTACGATACTATACGAGTATATTATAGTACGGGTGGCAACACTAGTTCTGAGTGACGTGCTCTAATACCGCTTAATGTGTGAAAATGGATTCATTTCATTCCTAGATTATTCTTATAAATCGTTGTATTAAATTAATGATTTTTTAAACTAACTAAAAAATAATGTTTATCATGTACCGACATACGAATTTAGGAATTTGTACTATATCACTAGTAAAATTTTTATATTACAAATTATTTATTATGTCGCGGGGGTTGCGGAGCACGCGGGCTGAGGCTACTGGCTTGAAAAATAGGCAGGCTTTCTATTCTAGCCAGCGCTGGCTTGTCTTGAAAAACTGTATATACGTGACCAATAACAAGCCAGCGCTGGCTGACAGTGAAACTGGCAGCCAACACTGGTATGTTATTGGCCACGTATAAAAGTAACACTTCAAAAGATTTAACGGCACACATAATTTTCAATCACAAGTGACATAAAATATGAGATATAAGTTTAAATTTATATCAAATAATTGTTACAATCCTTATTTTTAAAGTGAAGCCTAAATTTTAATGTAATAAAACAAAAGAACATGTATTGATATTTTTAAAGAATATTTCCTTTCGTATACGAAATTGCTATCTTTATAAAATTGTAATAGCGCCATCTACTTCATTCTGTGGGTGAAGTGATTTTATCGAACGAAAATTAACTCTCAAGAATACGCTAGATGGCACAAACACGGCTTTCGGCTAATTAATATTACATTAGCCGACAGCAGAGTTTTTGCCATCTATAAAATATTAAATCTGTCAATAAATCGATCGATTGTTTTCAATGGACTTGATAATTTTATTAATTATGGTTAATTTTATTTATTGAATAAATTTGTTATTTCTTTAACTGTTTATTTTATCAGTTAAAAGATATATTTAGCCATCTTTAATCTTGACACTCCTATTTCTTATACTTGATACCAGATGGCGCTAGTGCCATCAACTGTGGCGCGCAATATTTAGGTACTTTAGATCTTTAGAACTATAATTATTGCAAACCCATATTAGTTTTCATTAATGATAGTTAGAAATAGTCTATATATTAATACGTATTTTTCTATTTATGTAATATTTTTTATTTAAGTAGATATTTTATCTCATCCATAAAAAAATTGTCCAAACAATTATATTACAATTCATTTACAAAGAGCTGTACCGCATAATATGTCGTTAGTACAATCTGTGCTACATGAAAGACCACTATAGGTATCCGTGTCATGTGCCGAGTTTACTGTTATTTAAAAAAGTTGTAATTTAATACAATATGTTCTTTTTAGCATTTAAATGTACAAGAATATTATGATATATATTATGATAATAAAGAAAGATGTGTAATTTCACACTAAAGAAAAGAGAATAGCACAATTTAGTGTTCAATTATGTTTTGAGTAGGTTCTTACAAAGTTTATATTACACGCATCACAGTTCGACTCACAGAAGTGTTAATGAAATTATTAATTGTGATTTTAATTGTTGTTTCAACGCGTACTCGGCACTAAAGGCAAATATAATGAAGTAGACGGAAGGCATATGTTACGGCTAATGATAGTGTAAATAATAAACTTATGATTAGCCGGCTAAACTTAGGTTTTGTTTTGAGCGGCTAATGTTATTTTAATGCTAGTAGTTAAGTAAAGTAGTACTTAAGTTTATGATGATTTTTTCACCGTCTGGAAAAAATAGGGTGTAACAGGTGAACGGAATAGACGCCTATAGCACAGTTATTTCACATTAACATAATATTATGAAATTGATCTAACAGTAAATACTTTTAATTGGAGACGTATTATTCAATGATGATAGTTTTTAATTTAATTATTTATTTAATTAGCTGTATGTTTGAGAGATCATTGCAGAACGGCTGCCGCTTTTGATGAAATTTTGTGTGTTGGTTTAAATGGGTACTTGGATCGTTTAGATTCACAACTGGACGCGGTAGGTGGCACTACTGCCAAGATACAGAAATGAACCGTGCGAATCCGAGGTGCATCGCTAGAATTAAGTCTACAAATAATGTTCACGTTAACCTACATCGTACTACGTGTGATCAAAGTTCAATGCTGAACATAGGCCTCCCCCATAGATTGTTTTAATGGGGGGCGGGGGAATGGGTTGCCAGTCGTCGCCCTTAGGACGAATTGACAACCGTATTATTTCTTTATTTCTTTAGTTGATTTTATATCATATTGTTAGTTTAATAGTACTTATATGATTAGTATTAAAAATTCATTGGCTTATGACCTATACTGACACGTTAACACAATACAATGTAAACCATCGTCAATAAGCAAAACGAAACCAATCACTGTTCCCTCCGGAGTTACACAATCATATTGCCGATCCGTAATCACCCTTAAAATGAAAGGAAACCCGAGAAAAGCAGTGCGGCGTTAAGATAATTTTTTACCGTTACACGACAAACCTTACAAAATATCCTTCACTTGGCTCAGGGCTCATCAGGGATGTGTAGTTGTTATAGTTGCCACGCTTGGCAAGTGGGTTAGCCAACCGCAGTTTTTATTTTCAATTTTTTTATGGAAGACGCTCCTGCCATTTCATATTTTATTTCCCGCGATCGTCTCTTACGACACCCACGGGATGATATGAGGTAGTGAATAGGATTTACACGGTAAATAATTTAATAACCAATTTTTTTTATAGAAGAGAGGGCCAACTAAAATATAATACTTATGTGGGCTCATATTGTATGAATGTATAAAATAAATTTCTAAAATAAAACCTGTGATAGGATATTTGCCACTTTTTTACCTATTTATTATTCGTTCCATGTTTAATTATTTTTTATTTTTTCTAGTACGAGTTTAAGGCGAGGGGTGTGAAAAAGCGAAAAGTGACCGTGGACGTTTCGACCGATGGCGTCCGAGTTACGATGCGGACCCAAAAGAGGAGTAAGGTGAGCAAAATCTAAATTGCTTTAGTTTAAGACCTGAATGGAGAGCGATAGGCGGAATTTGCAGCCAGAGGCACTTGTGGCATAGAAGCTGCTACGACACAAGATACTAAGATAAGTTGCTCGTGTTTATCATTATCATACATTGCTACTACTGACTAGGGCTACCAACCCCACCCTAGTATTCTACTACGTTAGGGATCTGCATACTGTATATATATATATATATATATATATATATATATACCATAATTTTAAAAGTAGATAAAACCATTGTATTTGAATAAAGCCTGACGACGGTGTGAGTAAAGGCACATAATATCAAAAATGTTCCTTTAAAATAAAAGTTTAACTTGAAATCTGCTTTAATATAGTCGCCGCCAAAATTTATATATTTTTATTATTAAAAATATCATCAAACTAACTAGATAGACATTAAGGCACGCTTTGGTTGACATGCGAACTCTTAATTCTCTTCCTTCTTCAACAGCTAACTAAACTCCAATGAGTCAATGGTCCTCATCCATTTTAGGAAAACTTGCTATAGTCGCTATAATTGGAAGACGGATTAACGGTGCCGAAATGTTTTCTAATACGCGGGCTAGTCGAGTAAAATATCTACCAAACCACTGATTCTGTTACTTGCAATTTAAAGTATTGATTTTAAAGTGCTTGGCGGTGAAAGAAAACATCAAGTGGCGCGCGAGGAAACCTTCAATTCTGCGAAATAATAGGTTTTGGAACATTAAGCCCGCTTTGAATACTTTTTTAGTTCAATGTAAATAAAATTAAAAAAAAAAAAACATATGCCTTTTAGGCAGCCAATTGTCATATAAATGTAACACCTTTTGCGATTCCAGACGTCACTAAAACGTATTTTATTTAGTATTAGTTTATACAAGAATTAATTTGATTAGATATATGGATGTTTTATTGGATTTACCACGTGCTCGGCGGTGAAGGAAAACATCGTGAGGAAACCTGCATGTCTGAGAAATAAGAAAAAAAAATATTTCGAAGACATGTGAAGTTCGCCAACACGCATTGGGGCAGCGTGGCGGACTATTCCTTGCCCTAAAACCCTCTCAGAAATGAGAGGAGGCCTGTTCCCAGCAGTGGGACGTATATAGGCTGTAACTTTACTTTACTTTTTTATATGGATGTGAAAGAAGCGATAGGGGTGTGTCGGTGCAAGTGCATTCCTCCAAATGCAAGTGCGTAGAATCTGCCTACCCCTCTAAGTGACGGGCGTGAGAGTTTAAATATGTGTTAATATATTAATATACAATTGCGAGTCTGAATTCAGGCAAGCAGCATCCCCTCGAAAACATTATTGTTTGCTTTTGAGATGTGATTCCCATTTTAAGATTTAGTGACCAATTGGTGACTTTCATTTACCGAGATTGAAACGTATTTGACGGTTCCGTGTCGTAGTGACTTAGCAATGAGTTGCTTTGAGTGGTATATGCAGTAGTACATCTCCGGCGGCACCAATGAAATTGCCACTTACATTTTAGTGCTGATTTGTCATGTTCGCGGCGGTGAAGGAGAACGTCGTGAGGAAACTTGCATGAATTTAAAAGAAAAAAATTACAAAGATATGTGTAGTCTGCCAACACGCTTTAGGGCAGCGCACTGTACCTTGCCTTGCCCTAAAATCCTCTTAGAAATGAGACGACGCCTGTGCCCACCAGAGGAACATAATAAAGGCTGTAACTTTACTTTCACTTTCATTATATCCTTCGAATCGTCTATCGAATTTAAATTAATATTATATTAATTTAAATAATTGATCGATGTCGGGAGATGTGCAATACTTAGTATCACTGATTGGAATTCAGTCATTTGGTCGATGATTGAATAGAAATTAATAGGTAACCATTAGTGACAGATGAAATCATTCAAAGCTTTGATATCGTATTGTCTTCTCGTATTTATAACTAGACGAATTGCGTCCTTGTGAATCTATAGCGACGGTCGTTATTTGTGATTCTTTGCTTAAGGAGATATTTCACAATGAGTTTACAAACGTTATTTACGTTTGTTACAATTATAAAATAAAATATCGTATCTGATTGTCCCTTAAAGGGGTTATACTCTTTCTCTTGTGTTTTCCTCTCGTACTAAGGTATTATTTGTTTTTCTGATGTGATTCTTCTCTCATCCTGAGTTTTAAGGCCACTGTTGGCTTATCTTTAACTCTACCGAGATATCTCTTCTGGAGTGTTAATCACTAACCCTCACCTAACATAAGCAATGTCTGCGACCGGTACTCCCAAATTTGTCACAAAACCCCCAAATCTCCAAAAACCTTTGCGAGACTGTTGTTATATTATTATAAATACAATGCAGAATTGCACTGCTATTGCAGATTCTGTTGTTTTTTCTGTATTTTCTTTATAGAATAAGGGTGACAAACACAGACTTACCGATGGTAAGCGATCTCGATTAGAAATCAAAATGCAGATGCGTTGTCACTCCTAAAGACTAAGATTGATTGCCTCGTTTCTAGTAAAAAAGGGCTCCGGTTCTCTACATTCACTATACGAAACACAGCAACTTAATGCTGCTATGGGTTGGTTAAGAGTTTCAATGTTGCTAATTGAACTTTTACTAGCATAATGTGCGCTTTTGTCTTCCTTATGTGTATATGTGATTCCTTACACTGAAATAGCATAAAAGCAAGATTGCTGATTGTGAAGTTTAGGGTTCGAGTTCCAGGTCGCGTTAACTATATCGGAAGTTGTTGGAAATACTACGCTCGAAATTATAGACGAGTATGTATACCTGAAACTGAATATCCGATGGGGTAAGTCCAACTTCGACTAAAACGTCAACCAACGAATCTAACTCAGCTAGACTACCAGTCTAAAATAAATAAATAATAAAAACCTTTTATTGATTTCTTCCACAAATAGTACATTGCATAATTTATCTGTTGCAAACATTTTAAAAATAGCAGTTTAATGCTACTGTATTTCGTATTTACTCCTCAGGGGTAACTATAGATGAAGTTGGCTATGTGCCACAGCATCCACCTCTCATCAGGTGGACTGCGTGCTTGTTTGTCACCCTTCTACTATAAAAAAAATAAACTGCGTTCTGGAAACAGTCACAAATATTCCTGTCTGGTATTCCTTCAAATCTTAAGACGGAAGTGAACAATAACAAGTGCGTCTTACCAGTGGCGACTTACGGAACCAAAATTTGGTGCTTTACTGCTGACCGTAAGGGGAAAATCAAAAGTCACTCAGCATATCCTACTCTAAGTGACTTTGACTTTTGTTTGCAAAGGGCTGTGCTCTGAACTTCTCTGCGGGATAATAATCTACATAAAGTACATCTTACCATGTAATGGCAAGCGGCATGTGGTGGCTAGATATCACTTCTGTACATTGTACATAATAGAATAATGCCATTATGTGCGAGAGTTTAAGATATATGTGAATACCTGGTTTTGCAATCTCCAATCCACCAAGCGTGGCGATTACTACCATATCCAGTCGTAGATGTTCTCAAGCTGAAAATATAAATATTTGGTCGTATACCACAGTAAAATAGCAGCTTAATGCTGCCGCGTATGGTGAGTCTAGAGAACCGGAGACCCTTTTTATTGGAAACGAGGCATTCCATCTTAGTCCTCACGGGTGAAAACGCATCGGCATTTTGATTCTTAATAAAGGATAAATGTAGATGTCTATGGGTCACAGCAGTCATTTACCATCGGGGACTGTGCGCTCGTGACAAACGAGCGCACAGTCCACCTGTCCTATATTTCTTATATTATTCTATAAAAAAAGTACACTGAACTTACGAAATGTGCAATGAAATGAAAACATGCCATCGAAACTTATAAAAATATAACATAAATCATGCTTTCACCTTCACTAATCTTTTCAAGGGAATAATCTATTGAGTTTCAATTTGCAAGTATGATGGTTATTAATAATTCACAATGTCAATAGATATCTCAATTTCAAAATCCGATTAGGTTGATAAAATATTTTAATGTAATGCGATTTTTATTCATGAAATTCTTAAAAGTATACGCGGAAAAATTATAACAGATTTGTTTTGGAAACATTCTTCTGCTGAAGAACTATTTTATCTAATCGCCCCTTATAAATAATTGTTAAGTAAAAATGTATATATAAAGGCTTGTTTAGTAGTAATGGAAAATACTTTGAGAGTACCTGTAGGACAGAAATATTATTTCCTCCATTTTATAGAATAAGGGTGACAAACGAGCACGCAGTCCACTTGAAGGTGTGTGGATGCTGTAGCCCATAGACTCTACATCCATCTTCAATTTGGAATCGAAATGAAAATACGTTGTCACCGCTGAGGACTAAAATGAAATGCCTCGTTCCCAGTAAAATGGGGTTCCCTGTTCTCCACATTCACAGTCTCATTAAGGGAAAATATGTCAAATGGCTTAGCAAGATCCTTCGTTATGCCGAAAATATTGCAGCATTAATTTTGAAATAAATATATGGTAAAGTTGAGGATTAATGTTAAGGATTATGTTAGACGAAAACACGATTTCGTAAAATTTTCTCGATAGAAAAAAAAATCCAAAGTTACCTCCAAAATAAACAATAAACCGCTGTTATTCATAAAATACTTTAAATAAGATCATGAAACTTTGCATACTAACTGAACTAACCATAAAGCAGTGCTTATGTTATTTACTTTTTTTTTAAATACCATTATTTTCAATGTAAAAAGAAATTACCTAAACTATCGGCGCGTAAGCTTGATTCCTGTCGCCCCGTTAGTATCGCTCCGCTTTTGAAGGGAGAAGTTGTGTCGCTTACGAGCAGAATACATATTACGCAACATGACGACGTAAAATTAAAATGGGAAATAAACGTAATAAAAATAAGAAGCGACTGGGTTGGCGTTAAGAAACAGGCATAAATATGATAAACCTAATGAAATAAGTCTCTAACGACCTATCTACTTACAGTATTATTGATTACAAACATGTCGGTACATAGCAT